GCCCCCATACGTGTGGCCCCACCAGAGTCGTGCCTGAGCCTCCTGAGCCAAACACAGATGTTAATTTGAAAGAAAACAAACCGTAATGTTATGTACATAGCAAAGTGCTTGGCAAGCTGAAGGAAAACAGTGATTTGTATTGTTATTATTATTTAATATATAAATAAAGGCCTCACTGGACTGAAATTGAATTTCAGCAGCCTTTCTGGAGGCAATTAAAACCATTAGCTTCATCAGCCAAGGCCAGCGTTTTAATGTCTCTGAAACACTCAGGCTGCCAAAGTTAATTATTCATCTTTTTCTTAATTGGATTCAGATTGCATTTTAAAGGTGCAGCTTCAAGAGGGTTGGCTGAACCTTAATTTTTCACCCCTACCTCTCCTCCCTTCCCTACCCCCAAGAAACGTCTCATCAGAAATCATTTCAAGCCTTTGCAAAAGGATTACAGAGTGGATTTCAGACCAGGCTGGTGGCTGATATCTCATGGCAGATCTCAGCCAGTTTAGTAAACAGTGCAAAAACCGTACATTATTGCACATTACTTCATGATAGTAATGCTTCTTTGACATGGAAAGCTGACCAAGAAGACCAGGAAAGTATCATTTGCTCTTATGCTACAACTTATGGCAAAGTACAGCGTTCATGCCCTGCATTTCTACCAGTAAACAAATAAAGTTGGTTTTATAAAATGTTTATGCTATATAAATGCATCACTTCTGTGCTATCCCAGTAATTGACACTCTAAAGTACAAATCATAGGTATGATATAGTTCTTAGAATGCAGGCTTCATTTCTTAAGGCTGTAAAACTTTTTTTTGCTTCAAAAATTGCTGTTTTTTGGAAGATGAATTGCTTTTCATAACAGAAGATTAGAACATAAAATCATCTTTTTGTGGCTGAACTGAGAAGTCATAAATCATAATTTGGTATACAGACAAAACTTTTCATCTGTAACAAGCCTCCTCTTAGGTTCCTGAACTCAGCCCTGTGTCTGACGTGCTGCCTCTAAAGGCAGACATGGAGGGGTATTACGCAGTATGTAAAAAACAGAAGCATAGATCAGTACTTCCCAAAAATATCCTTTCTCTAGACAAAGCTAAAAGTGCACCTTCTGGTGCACCTTCTGCAAAGGAGAAATGGGGATCAACTGACTGGCAGATGAAGAATGAAAAACAGGAATAGGAGTACAGATTTCACAGGAAACAAAGAAACACTTGGAAGGAGATGCTGAGCAGAGAGAGCCCTGACAGATGCCCTGATCTGATCTGTTGATAATTTGTTTCTCTATAGCACATTCAGCTTTTTGACAGATTGTTTTGCCTCGTGGTGGATGTGGTTGCTTGTTAATATTACATAAAGAAATAGGTTCTCTGATCTATATACAGACAAAACAATTTTCACTGTATAACCTACTGAACAAGTCTTTCAGCCTCAACTGACCTTTTCCAAGCACTCTGGAGATGAAAAGTACCATCCCATTATAATAATATATTTTCATCTTCCTGTGCAGTTATTTTTAAACTGAGGAGTTAGGTGTCACTCGTTCTCTCGTTATTAACAACATCATAAAAGAAAAATATATATTTGGAGTCTGAACTGTAGTCTTTCCAGGATTGTTTCTCAGGCCATCCGGTTGTCTGTGAGTTTCCAAAATAAAATTGTCAAGCAATGTACTAACTTCTTGTACAGGGTAGAAGTGGGGTAAGGCAATAGTCTATAATGTTTCAGATGTGTGTAAGTGCTGAAACTGCCAGATCTCTCTTCACACTATTAGTGACACGTGCAAGGTAAAGGCTGTCACAGGCTAAGCTAAAAAGGGTGTGGGGGGATTATGTGGAGTATGAATTTCTGATGTAACAGTTTCTCAAAGCTGCAACTGAGAAACATCTGGTTTTTTTTAACAGTGTTCGTGATTACTAACACTCATGACTGCATGAACTTGCTTCCTAGTGCTTCAGCTTGCTGCAGACTTCAGAAGATGACCTTATGCACTCAAAGAAGCAAATTCTTTGAAAAGCAAAGAATAATTTGATGTAGATTGGGACAAGTGTGAGAATCATGCTCATGGGACTACTTCACAGATTGCTCAATGTTTTATTGGCTACTTTTTAATGCTATTTCCTTTAGTAATAGCATTACAGCCTGATTAGCATTTTTGTGCTGACTATACAATCATGCCAAATTAGTGTTTTGTATTCCATGTCATGCATTAAGTCCGAAAAACTGCAGAAAGACAAGCTGAGGTGGGATGAAATTAGCTCACATCCGAGCATGGGGACTTATAAGAAATTGTTTCTCAACTGATGATACACAGTGCTTTGACAGTACAGGTATTTCTAAAAAACTGCATGCTTATTATCCCTTACAATGAACATAAACACACACTGTCTAGCTGTGCTGTAATAGCTGGGTTGTGAGAAGTTAGTAGAGACCTGATATTTTAAACAAAGACTCTCTTCTCTCCCACACTGTCTGCAGAAATGAAGCTGCACACCCTGGAAATCATTCCAGGCCTCTTCATGCTGTATCCTTTCTTCACAATTTATATCATCCACCCAAAGGTGTTGGCTGCAGTGCCTGCAGCCAATGTGAGCAGGGACTATTGCACAGCTCCAACCTGGCTCTTCGATTTGAGAACAGCTATTACAGGGCTCTACCTTTTCCTTTACAAACAAAAAAATTATTCAAACTACCTACTTTATGCTTTGTGCTTTATGTCCCTCATACTATGCATGATGAGAAATCGAACTTCAATGATGTTACTTTTGCAGTAGTTGTTACCAGACAGGTGTAGGTGTTGATTTTAGAACATCATTCTTAGAGCATTGTCAGATTTTGTTTACCAGAGGCAAGAGCAATTTCCAGTTCACAGATGCAGGGACCTATGTAAGTTGTTTCAGATTCGAATAACTTATTTACAGATTATTGAGGAGTGATTTTTATTTATTTATTTATTTGTGGCTTCCAGCTCATACAGGCTTCACTTGGGAGCGTCTGATTCACACCTCATCTTGCCCTGCACTGTTTTCTGGAGGAAGACAGCGCTAAAACCCAGAGAAAGCATTTTCTGGCTGCCATTGTTGGGAAAGGAGTGAAAGAAAGCCTTAAAATGCTGAGAAATTCTGAGTCCTGAGTGACTTGAAGCCAGGAAAGCTTCCTCTGTTCCCCTTCTCTCTTTGGAGAACTGCAAAGCACCCATAGCAATAGAAATGGATGTGCATCAGGGCAATCAGGGAATAAGGCCCATTCATTTTGGACATGAATATCCCTGATGAGGAAATCATTTTCAAGCTACCCAATTTACTGTGCCAGATATTCCTATTTCAGGAACAATCTGCGAAGAAGAGCTATATGTGGCTTCTGTTACACAGAAATTATGTGGACGTTTTAAGATAGTCCAGCACACCGAGCTCTTTTGTCTTTGTAATTGATGCTGTCCAAGTCAGGGACAAGAAATGTGTCTTCAGCTGATGGAGAAAAAAACTACGAAAGAGCATATTTCCTAGGAGCAGTAACACCATAGCAACAGTTGTCTTTCAGTGCTGCTGCTGTATCACTTATAGTCCTCAGATTGCCCAGAGCCACAATCTGTTCTGCCATGAAACTGCACGTGAGCTGATGCTGTTGGTGGATCATTACAGGAAAAACATATCTATACAGCACATCATTTTTGCTTTTATCTAAAATGATTTTTTTGTCCTCACAGCCATATAGCATTTATTTTTTCTCCTTTAAAAGGAATTTCAGGGGGAAATTTATCAGTAGAACCGATGAGGTCAATATCTTTGATGAAATACTTTACGTGGGGGGAACATAATGTGTGTGTGTGGAAATAATGGAAAATTCCAAACTATGAGTTGGATCAGTTTTATTCATCAGATATTCTGTTTAAAAAATTTGGAAAAAATATCATTCCTTTCAGTGTTTTTCAGAATGAATAAATATTTTGAATGAGTTTTCAGCTAGGAGTTTCACTTACAGTGAAATAAGAACACAGTATTTCAAACATCAAAATGAAAACTTTTTGACTATTTTTTTTCCCCCCAAAATGTTCATTTTATGAAAATGTCAACTCTGTCCAAATTCAAGTCAGGAGAAATGTTTGAAAATTCTTCTGAGATGAGAACGAATCTTCCTGCCTAGTTCTGTTCTACTTATTATATATTAACACCGCCTGGCTCCCTTTGCTAGGTGTGGCTTTTTTTGTCACTCTTCTATGAGGGCTTGCATGGAAAATTAAGGCATACTTGCTGATTAATTTAGGATGGAGGGTGAAAACAAAATGTCGCTCCTCCTTTGAATCTGTCCAGGTTTCAACAAGAACTGTAGTGCCGTGTACTAAGGAGTCACAGATTAAATGTCTGAAAATTGAATTACTTTTACAAAAGGTGCCTGTAGGTAAAAACAGAGGCTGAAGCTAAAGGTTTACATGCTGGCTGCTCTTACTGGGTCTTTTCTCTGGTCTTCCATGCTGTGGATGTTAGTCCAGCTCCTTCAACAGGCACTGAAAACATGATACATTAAACAAAACAAGTGGGCTATAAATGGCCCATGATTTATGGGTTATCTTGGTTTGTCAGTTCTCACCACTGTGAAGCACTTCTGGTATTTGCACAATGATGTAAATTATTGCAGCATGAGAGCATTTGCAGAGTGCCCTGCAAGCTGTGAAATATCCCATTGCTAAATATTGTTTGTGCAGCCCAATAAGCTGCTGCAATCTCTTGATTCTATCACTGCCGTGAAGAAGCAAACTTATTTTGAGGAAATACTGATTTATGAAGGACACTGATGAACCAAAATGCCATGGGCATGTGGATTCCCTGGCCGTGTGACTACAATTCAGAGACAGCTCTTCATTTCGCATGTTAGAAAGAGCAGTGAATGATCATGAACATCAGCTTGTATATGGAAGAGGAAATGCTACGTGCAGGGGGGCTGTGGTTTGGTGGTGTAATAAATCAACTAAAAGGTTTTCTTTTTCTTTTGTTTGTGTACAGCTAACAAGAGAACACCAGGTGGCCCTCTCCTCCATCACTTACATTGGCTGTGCTCTGTCCATCTTCTGCTTGACGATCACGCTGGTCACATTTGCTGTATTGTCGTGAGTGATTTTAACTGAATATGTGCTGAGCTGCTCTGGTACAGAAAGCCAAACAGTGCCTTTCTGGTCACTGGTTTGGATCCCTTCAGGTGCCCAGAATAAAACAAAGGCTACTAATTTTTCAAACACCCTTAATTAGATTCTGCACGTGTATTTGTACTGGCTGGTTATTTCTAAATTAATTTCCTAAAACGGGGTGGTCCCTATATAGCAAGCTATTTTCATGCTATGAGAGATTTTTAGATTTTTTTAAAGCCCTCCATGTTTTGCCATGTTCAGGAATCTTGCAAGGAGGCTGTAGGAATGCTTGTCAGAAGCTCAAGGCAAGTACAGGATCAGCAATGACCACAGGATCTCCCCAGCAGAACAATCTTTGGATTGCTTGGGGTGAAAGAAGCAGTACTTTCTGCTTTCCATCTTGCCTGTAAAGCAGTGTATTTATAAACTGCCTAGGTATGTCTGGAAAGGAAGGCTCAGTCAACATCAGCTGCCTCGTTTCTATTTCCTAAATACTGTGTACTATTACACCACATGACCTACATTTAATTTTGAGTACCTTTGTTCTCTGTTAGGCTGGCTTTCTAACGTGTTGCTAAGGAGAATGAAGTGTGAAATTCACTCTGTGGCTCATGTTTAAATCCCTGAATTTCTGCACCCTCACACCTGTGACACAGCAGCCCCTTTGAGGGCGTTATGCACAGTGAAGGTTTTTGCCATGAGTGCTTTAGGGCCTTTTTTGCCTATTTATGTTCTAGTAGTGACTACTGAGTTTGAGGCCCAGCTAGGCTCGATACAAACATTTCTGGAAAAAAGCTTTCATAGAATTTTCTGTCTAAACAAATAAAAGAAAACCTAACAAGGGGTGAAGCAACTCATCCAAGGTTGTGCAGCAGATTGGGATCATATCAAGGAATGTGATTCTCGTCTCCTTGCTTGTTATGCATCAAACCATGCTGAGAGGCCAGTTTCTAGGAAAAAGGTTTTGCTAAACAAAGTAAACTGATTGCAATGTTTGTTTGTTCCAATAGCCATATTACTTCCAAGTCTCAAGATATGTGTTGGTCATACTTGGAGTAAGTGTGTAATGTGCGGCAAAATCCACCCTAAGCAAGTCCAATGTCTGCCTAATTGACACTGTGCTATTAGCATAGCTAGGCAAAGGGGAACGATCTGCTCCATTTTTTGTCTGAGTGTAGAACTGGATATTAGTGTTTAGAGAGGAAAATGAGCTGAAAGAGCTGGTACTGCTGCAGCTGGGCTGAAAACTCCTTGAGCATACTTGGAAAGAGAGCTTGGATCCGGCTGAATATCACACTGTTAAGCACCCCACCTACATACAGAATCATTCAAACTACCAATTAAAAATAATTTGATTAGGTTTTCACTGGAGAGCAGGGCCTCATTAGACAGCTGAAGTGAAATTTTGCAATGTAGTGTTAGATGAACATGAGGTAAGTGGAGAGGAATCTGGCAAGTTCTTTGCTACTCTGTGTACTGGCAAGGAAGGCTGCTTCCCAGGAGGGCAGTCCTGACTGCCTTCTGGGGAATGATGTTCCACTGTGTGACTGCATGAAGTTCCTTATTAGAAAGCCACTGGTACCAAGCAGGACAACCTGTCTTTCAGAATTAATTTTAGGGCATCAATATTTCCTTTTGCCTCCTTCTTCGCTTCTTTCTAACAGAGCAGTGGCTGAAACTGTGCTGAAAGTACAGGGCTAATAGCAAGACATCAGCTGCATTGCTGAGCCTATGCCACCCTGCTGAAGGGGGCATGCATAATGTGCACCAGCTGTTACAAAAGTCATCACAATGCAGCATAATAAAAGATGGAAGCTCGTACTGTTGTGCACAGGAAGTAGTGCCATTCATGCAGCCGAATGATCTAGGTCTTCTGATAGTGGAGGGGCTGGCAGGCAGTATGCTGAACAAGAAAGCCTCTCTCTACTATGTTCTTTTCTTTATGCAAAAGACCTGAAATGTTTGGATAAATGTTTTTGTTTGTTTCCTACTTCCTGTTTTTGGATGATTACAGAAGCAAAAGGTCAGAATACTCCCAGGAAAGCGTGTTCTTGTCAAATTTCCAGCCAGTTTTTGCAAAGACAAGAGAGAGAGGTTCAAAAAATGTAATCATGTTCAGTGCACTGTCAAGATAGGCATCATCCATATGTGTATGAAGCCATAGTTCCTGTGCTAAAAAGCTGATACTGGTAAACCCAGAAGTGCACCTTATTTCTAATGCAGGCAAATATAAACAAAACACAAACAGAAACTTAGTGCCAGAATGTGGGCTATGTGTTATAAACTGCTGAATGCTTTCTGTGAGGCACAGATCTGATTTCCTCGACAGCTTAGCACCATTTAGAATCAAGCTCTTTGTTAACAGTCAGTCAAAGCTCATTAGCAGAGCTAGTTAACGTGCAAATCAGACTTCTACTGCTTTTGGGATGGTGACAAAATATACAGGAGCCCAGACGTGGTGGAAGAAGTGCTCAACAGGCACTCCACCAGAACAATTAACCAAAAGCCAAACAGAAGTATTTCTGATGAGTCATAAATATGTTCATGCATCTCAGAATACTGTTTTGTTCACATACCTTTCTGTCTTCTGCCAGGTCTGTGAGCACCATCCGCAACCAACGCTATCATATCCATGCCAACCTGTCCTTTGCTGTCCTGGTAGCTCAGATCCTGCTTGTCATCAGTTTTCAGTTCAGCCCTGGAACAGTAAGTGAGACAGTGCAATGACATTTTTGCAAGGGTTGTGCATGGTATGAATGCCACATACAATGTCTATTGGATGTGAGACCTGCCATTTTTAACATGCCAAGCAAAAAATGCCATCCCACAACACTGGATAAAGCCTTCAGTGAATTCAAATAGCATTATCGTAGTATCTGTCCATGTTTGACTCTTTGCAGAACAGAAGGGAACATGAGCCCAACAAATGGTAAAGTCACGATAGTAATGAGGAAGTTGGAGCTTCATGTTCAAATGGATCAACTGACTTTTGCCTGACAAGGTTTATGCGTATCTCATCCACTTCATCCACTGAAAACTGTATGAATTCTGTATTGGAAATTTTTGTATGAATTTTAGGTAGGGTAGTATTACTATTTCTAAACATAAGATCTGTTAATGTAATGTGCCACCTGAAAAAGGCAGAAACAAAGCCTGATTTTAAAACAAACCTCAGGTGTGCTCTATTTTTGACTTGTGTAATTGGAAAACTTGTAATGGGTTGCTATTGTGGTCAGCCATTGCTCCAACAGTTTATATTAATCTTTTTTTTTTTTTTTTCCAGTGCAAATAAATATGAGGTCTGCATTTATATTCATCTCAAATTGAATTCCTTAAGTTTATAAATAACAACAATATCTGATGTTACATAGGCTATTACTACCTGAGGATCTAAAAACAATTTGTGAATCTAAGTTCATACTCTTTTGTTGGTAGGTCCTGAGTAAGATATTGTGCAAGGGAGAAAATAATCAGGAAGGATTTAAATGGAAAATGGAACAGTGGAGAGCAGCAAAGGATCTATCTGTCTGTCTACCTGTCTACCCATCCACTGATCCATCTGTCCATCTGTGCACGCATCTCAGACAGTGATCTCTTCCACAGTTGATTATATCTGAGGTTGAAATGTCCACCATGTTTACAACTGGAGATTACAAGTGAAGTTTTCTTTTTGAAAACCACAGCTCCCAGAAAGCAAGCCCTTTTTTCATGCACCAGGCTTTCAAACGTTTCGCAGAATCCCTGGATATTTCAGCAATAACTGTAACAACAATAATTGTAGGGCACAGTTCTACAAAGATCTCGAAGCTGAAAAGCACCAAGCACGTTTCTGCTGCACTTTTATTTTTATTGTTATAACCTCTAGGGATCAGAGGTGTTGTGATTCATCCTGTTATTAGTCTTGCATCTTTACCTTCTGCATGCTCAATTCTCACCAGCTTGGGCATCAATTTTAATACCTTTAATTGCTGCTGTAATCGGACTGCTAAATGGTAGTTTACAAAAAGAGAGAGGCAATATGTACATGGGGAGGTGAACTTAATCTTCTGCATCTGTCAAAGATGGTATATTTAGTGCTAAACAGTTTATAAGTGCCCTGCTCTGGAGGACAAATGGTACCAGTTTGCTTGAGGAAATACAGTGCAATACGGAATGGCATTGTATAAACAGGCCATGAGCTGGCATCACTTTCTTGTATGACTTCATCATCTTTTTTCCGTCTCCACCCCTATTGATATTTAGGTTTTGATTTCAGATATGGCATACAGTATTTCCCTCGTAGTTTCAGATGTAACATTTAATTGTTTGCAATTTATACTACAGCAATTTTCCTTCTATAGCGTAGGAGTAATTTTTAACTTACTATTAACAAATCTCTACTTCTGTGAATAGAACTTTGATCTATCTAATACATCCAGGAAGATCTTTTTATTATTCTGTCATTTAAGGATGTTATCAAAGTAAGTAAGGCACAAATGCAGAATGAGTATTATCCTGCACTGTATGCAGACCAGACTCCTGCTACTGCACTTTGTTTATTTTTTTTTTGCTGTTTTGTGATGCATATTGCTTGGCTACTTGAAAAATTAAAGGCATCCATTTGAGAAGGGGAGCTTGTAAGTCAGCTTTATGTTGCAATTATACTGTTGTGGACTAATCTTCTGCTGGAAATCAAAAGGAATTTAAATGGATTTCACAGCCTTATGATAAAATTAAGTGGAAAGATTTTTACAGTTGTGGACAATAAGCAAATCTGGTTTAGCTGTATGTCATAGAACATTCTGAAACACTAAATGCTTACAGATCTCACTTACACAAATTAAAACCAAAGTTACTGTTTTTTGATACATCTAATCACAGTGGATTTGCATTGGAATGTCCCTGTACAAGCACAGAAGCAGCTGAGTGCAAGTGAGAACATACTGGAAGCCTTTACATTGCATTATGCTATCAAGTTCTAACATTTTAACTTTCATTTGTACAAAAAGTCCTAAAATATCCACAAAAAGAACAAAATGCCACCATAGAGAAGCTAAACAGACACAACAAAGGGAACAACTGATAAGATATGTAAGAACGCTGTGGAAGCAAACTGGTTTCTAGTGGTAATGAATCCTCAGCACACTGACTGCAGCAGCTGGGAACCTCACTGTGACTCATCCAGGTGAGGCCGTGAAACCATGAAAACAACAAAACCCTTCCCATGGACATTATGCAAGCAACCCCTCCAAAATTCTGGAGGTGCGATAGAAGGGATGCTGCAGGGTGCAAACCTCAGATACAGCTGCTGCTCATTCAGCACCTTTAAAATGTACCTTAAGTGAAAGAAAGCCAAAGGAGATTGCTGTGTGGTTAGCCCACTGGCAGTCATATCTGTTCTGTTACTGCATGACGAGGGAAACAGCTCATAGTGAGAGTTCTCCAAAAGCAGTTTGTGGAAAAAGGAGAACTGTGCTGTGCGAATATGTGAGGACTGGGGAAGAAGAAAGGATTATATTTTACTGTTGACACAAGGTAGGCTGATAGGAGACTTAGAGAAAAATGTAAGGTCTCTTTGAAGATTAACTGGTAGAGCTGTTATGAAAGTCCTTAAGGAAAAGTTGGGCCTTAAGCTCAAGCTACACTTCCTCTAGTCCACAGTGAGCCATAAGCACTGAGGTGAGCGTAAGCAGAACTGTGGAGGATGCTTTTACTTCTCGATGCATTGCCTTCACCATGGAATTCCTCTCTTGAGGCATTTATTTCACTTCAACACATGCAGTAGTTTACACTGGAGCAGATAGTCCGGTTTACACCAGGTAGGCTTGCTTTATGCGTGGTATTTTTCCATTGCATAAACTTTTGTACTTGCTCCTGCTTCCAGAAACTTGATAGCACGTAGTCCTCCAAAAGATCATGTCTGTAAGGTCTCTATGGAGAAAAATGTCAGTTCTTCGCCGTAATTGCAATTGTTCTTGCCAAACATGGCTTTGTATGGAGCAGATACATGTTTTGGAATCTGGGAAACTGAGAACTCAAACATGCAGGTAAACTAGGCAAACCACACAGCAATTAGGACTTGGGAGCCAATTAAAGCTTACTGCAATTTTTTGAAATCTCTGCTAGTTTTACTACTGGCAGAAAATAAGAAACTTTTCAAAATTTAAACCTGGACAGACAGAAGTGGGAATACAGCGTGATTTAATTTGTGTGTTGTCATATTTCCATTATGAAGAACGTTACAGAACAGGGAGCATTGCACAGTACTCCCACTTCCACGATTCTTTTATGTTCACTACAGACTTGGCAAGAAGATATTGAAATTGCAGGTCTGAACTCTTAAATATCTTGTAGACGTTAGTAAAAGTTTTGCTTATGCACATACAAATAATCCATTTTGCTTTCCACAGCACCTCTAGCAATGTACGTTTTTAACTTTTATTTTTATTTTGTGAAATAAGGGAAGAAAATTTGTTTCTCTGAAGCTATCTCAAAATGCCTTCGAGAAATTAAGTCCTCTAGTGCTTTGCTCTTTAAAAATGTTTCTAACCAGTGACTTAGCCTAGAGTGTAAATGTAAAAAGAAATAATGATAAAAAAATTGCAAAAGCAATATGACTGCATCACAAAGAAGTATCTATTAATTTTTGTCGTTAATCTAGGTGCCTTGCAAGATCTTGGCCATTCTCCTTCATTTTTTCTTCCTGAGTGCTTTTGCATGGATGCTGGTGGAAGGATTTCACCTCTACAGTATGGTGATCAAAGTATTTGGGTCAGAAGAGAGCAAGCACTTATATTATTATGGAATTGGATGGGGTAAGCATTTATTTGCTGCTTGCTTTCAGTCTCTTCACTGTGGAATAAGATTAAATTCAGAAGCATATGTAAAAAAGTGATCTTATAAAAATGTGATCCAACAGTTCATTTTTTGATTCCTTACTTTCATGTGAAACGTTTACTGCATTTGACTTTTGCAAACTCAAAGGACCTGGAATAATGTGAATCCCCAGTCCTCAAATTACAAACTCAGACACATTATTTTTGTTTAAGCAGAAGCTCTGGTCTATGTGTATATATATGAAAGTTTGCAGAGACTATTAATGACAAGTTGGAACTTGAGGCATGAGTTGACAGGAGTTGGGAACAAGGAACTCACCACTGACTACCATTGATCTGCTAATATCTATTGAGGCTCCTGAGAGATATAACTTCTATAAAATGAATTTCACAGTAATCAGAGAGACAGGATACCAAATATGCAGAGTTGATTGAAGTTCCTGTATATTATCTTTAGTCCCAAGAGTGCTAAAATTACCTTAAAACCTGCAGTTGTAATTCAAAAGAGCAATTTGAGGAAGGTGATAATATTCTACTTTTATATCCTGAGACAGACTGGGAAAAAAAATGCTTTATTGCCCTGGTGACTGGGTGTAACATACACAGGTTATTGCAACAAAACTTTTCCCAACCAGCCATCTGAAACGCTGATGATAATGGCTGTGATACTAAAGATTTTGCTGCAGCACTTTGACCTTAACCTGTTTTCCAATCCCTGACAATTTCCTTTTTTTTGAAGACCACCTTAGAATAGAGATTTTGTTCTAAGCTGTCGAAAGATCTAAGCTTCCTTATTTGCTGTCCCAGATTTATCCACAGATAGATACAGTGTAATGTGGCAAAAGGAAATCATACAAAATTAACTTCTTCAAAACAGATGGGAGAATATACTCTTCCCCACTGAGTAAATTAGATCTTTTAAGTATTAGAAAGGAATGTACTTATTTGTGTCCATTTAATTTATTGTTAGTCCTTCAAAAACACAAAGCAAATGGATTAGATGTGAAGTTTGATGCTGAAGAAGAGGAGGGAAACTTGGTAATCTATCTCATGTTCATTTTAGGCTCTGCGCTTGAGACTGTGTTTGGGCTGAATTTAGGGAGAATTCTATCTGAGCAAAGATGGTGCTTTTGGGCTTCCTGTGCCCAGCTGCTCAGAGTTTATGCCCACACTGCAGGCTGTATTTTGATTCTGAGATTGGGAGGCAGCTTTAAATTAGCAGGCCTGGGGAGCTGGACTAAACTAAACTGGACAACTCAAGCTACAGCAGCACAGGGAGGTGTGTGGAATTATTTGTCCCGTTTAAAGGTGACACTGTATTGTGCTGGGACTACAGAGATGCAGATGACACCGCTCCCGTAGATCATCGGCCAGAAACGTGTACTAGAACACTTTCATCTGATCCTGTGCTCTGGAATGCATGGTCTATTGCATCATAAATATAGCCATTCTGGGCAGAATTGGTGAGCATATTTGCAGCATCTGCTAACTGAGAAAACTTTCAGATACAGTCAAGAACCATAACCGTAATTCTCTCATGGATGGTAGCCAGTGCCAGCGCAACATCAACATTTCCTATTATGGAGGCAGGCTACACGGCTCTTACACAATTATTTCTGACAAAAGATTAAGCAAACACATTTACTTTTGTGTATAATATATAATCCATATGAATTCTTCAGTCCAGAATAAATCTTACTATCCTCCTAGGCTAAATATAGTTTTATTTCAACTTCTATGGAATTATTGAAAGATTGGTTCTTAATGCAAAAAGGGTCTCATTTCACTGTAACAGAACCTCGATGCTGCATCTGATGTATCTACTATTTAACACCCTGTCAGTGCAAAGAAAAAGCAACCACTGCACTTTAGGCTGCAGAACGTTTTACTACCCCTGTCTTAACAGGTCTTTTTATGCAGATGACTGCCCTGTGTTTCATCTGCCTAAGTTTTATTATCTTCTAAAAGAACTTTGTATTTAATTTTCCTCTTCGCTGCCATTTAAAATTGATGTCACAGTAAATCCTTTGAATATCTGGCTTTTGGGGAAAAAAAAACTGCAAGCAGAAAGTGTAGAGGAGAGTTAGACACATGTATTTTTGCTTCTGTGACGTGTAGGCAGAGCTTGCTTGTTGAAGGAAGACAGCATCAGCAGATAAACAGTGCCAACCAACAGTGTCTGTGGTCAGGGATGTGAAGGCATAGCCCAGGGACTGTTAGTCCAGGTAGTCCACAAAACCAAGGCAGAGCAATTTTCAGCAGACAGGCTTACATCAGTGCACAATTGCTATGTTGAATACTCTTGGTTTTGTTCGAATACATATGGGATTCTCCTTTCTTAAGCAGACAGATGTAAACTAAAATTTTGCCTTCCCTTAGTTCTTACACAAATATGCTTTTGAGGAGTAAGTCCATATTTGGGCAAGCATGGGAGAACAGGAGCAAGTTCCAAGGTTGTTGAAATCCTCCCAGTGAATTTCAAAGTGGAAGACCAAACAACGCCTGCGGATGCTGCGTCTTCCCCATTTCTAACGACAAGGTGATTCCAGGCACAGGCGTTAAAGAGCAAAAATACTATTTCAAAGAATAACTGTTCTACAACTACAAGAAAGTTTTGCAGAATTTTGTGAAGATGATTAACAAGATTACGAGAACACTCAATGAGTTTAAGCAGAAATTGCTTGTCAGAAAATTCCGTAAAAACCTTATGCAGAAACCCTGAAGAATTTAAAAGAAAACTGAAACCTCAGGCTATCACGTATAATACTCTGTCTGGGACACGGTTATTAAATTCCACAAGATGACAGAAACCTAAACCTTCACATTTTATTAAATCATATAGGGATTAACAGACAATCATTTAATATTTAAAGGGATGAGGTTTCCCTACATTCAGAACTGCTGGCAAAAAAGCCCTCATTCCCTTTCCAGCTCCCTGCCTGGAAAGCTGTGTTAAGTGGCACAACAGGACAGTGCTGAGGCCAGCAGCACACAGCCATCCCTGGCAGCAGGGCCATATTCATCTGCCTCTGGATAATCCCTGCGTAATCCCATCAAGCACTCTTCCACCGAGCAGGATGCTGCATACTGGAGCTGTCACAAGCTATCTGGAAGCATCATCTACTTTAAGCTCAGAAATCTTGCAGGGCTATTACATATTTATATTAAAATAAATCTTGGTCTGGCACCTGAGTGGGATCCTAATTTGCTTTGCTCTATTCATAATTGTTTCTCAGTGTTGAGCCAGTGTTCTAGGCCACTAAGGGTCACTGTTTCTATCTTCTCACCTGCTAGTCCACTATCCCTGTAAGAAACTCATTTGTTTCTCAATTCTTGAGCAAGGTGAGCTTACTTGGGGGGAAGGTGGTAAAAATAAACTTGGTATTCCTCCACAGAATACCACTGTTCAAATAGTGAGAGACAGAAATCATACTAAGAAAACCAACTGAACTGAAAAAGCTCTACGATTCTCACTGGAATTAGCAATAATTCCGTTTACTTGTTAAATTAGTGCTTTACTGAAAAGTCATTTTGTTTGTCCAGCATTAATTGATTAAAATATATTGCATTCAACAGCTGCAGAAGGAGTTAGACTTAATTCTAAAATTGCTCTGAGTTGCTCTGTTGTCCAAGCAAAGTTTGGCTGAATTTGCAGGGTTTACTGGAACTATTATGACCTCTGCCTTTTCACAGGCTGCCCGCTGGTGATTTGTGTAATTTCTGCAACATCGTCCTTAGACAGCTATGGAGAAAGTGACAAGTGAGTATGAAAATATCGCCACATCTGGTACAGGATGGATAAAAAATCTGCAGGAGAGAAAAACTCGTAGGTCTGTGAGCAGGGCTGCAGCTCTGCACCATTCTGGATGTACAGGAGGATGGGTGCAGGTCACTGCCCCTGACAGTGGGCACCCAATGGGAGCACTCTGCTCATCATGTACAGAATAAAGCCGGGGCTGAAGCATTTCTGACAAGATGAGAATAAACTCCAGTTAAAGATGTTCAGCTTTTTGAAGAAAACGGCAGTTGAGCACCCAGAGATTTAGAATTGATATTTAAAAAACCAAAATCGAACTTCTTCCAATCTAAGTTGGAAAAAGTAAAGCAAAATTATCTGAGAAAATACCACAGGATTCAATCCTGCCATTATGTAAGTGAAAGTTTTGGAGCAGGTTGTTTGCTGTGTGTGGTTAACTGGCTTACATCGCCTGTGCCGTAAGAAAAATGTATGACTGTGTTTTCCCACCTCCTGCTCATCCCCAGCTGAGCAAGGCAGAAAAGGCTTAGGTTTGTCTCTTGCTACAAAGCAGTGCCTTCAGCACTGGAAGGAGTGGATGCAGGAACAACAAATAACAAATGAAACCTTTCCCTTCTTCCTGTCTTTCTGCCCCTAATGCTATTTGAAGGCCTGCTGAGGCAGGTAGCTGTCCCTGACTCTTTGGAAGATGCAAATCTAAATAAGATTTTGACTCAAAATTTGAGGGGAAGAGGAGCTTCCTATTGATACTCTCGCTTTTAAAATTCATCAGTGTTTTTAAACTTACTTTCAGTCTCTTTTTAAATCAAGAACATTACTTATTAAATGTTTGTGTGTTTCATCTAAAATCATTCTATTTTTCTCTGCAGCTGCTGGCTTTCCCTAGAGAATGGAGCAATCTGGGCTTTTGTGGCACCGGCGTTGTTTGTAATTCTGGTAGGTAAACACTTGGCTGCTGGTTTCATACTGGATGACTGTCAGCCACAGGGCAGAACACAGCTGGAGGGTGTTTGAAGCTGTTGCTTGTAGAGAACTCACTTTTCTGGGTGAAAGTCGAATGCCCGCAGTGAAGATGATGTTCAGGAGGGCTTGCAAGCAGTCAGCAGCTGGCAGAAATGCAATAAACCAACAGCCTGAGCTCTCACTTCTCTGGGGAAGGTAACAAGTGGCCTCCACATCTGCCTTCTTACAGTGATAATGTCTTTGTGCTCTTCTGCACTGGGAGTTTGATGTTGGTTGTGGCAGTTTGTTGGGCTGACTGAGACAACTTAGGACAGGTTGGCTACCGGGACACCTTTCAGCTGCAATGAACACCATCTTTCCAGAGGAGCATGCACATGCATGGCTGCAGTACTGGGACATGGATGCCCTACAGCAGTTTAATTATACCTACACATTAAATTACAGTGCACTGCGGCTCAATCATGATGACTGCTTAAGGAGTCAGGGGTCTGTAGGGATTAAGTGGAAGATTTCTCCTCCTACAGCACTGTTTCTTTTGAAGTTACTGATCACGTTGTCTACGATTTTTGCTGCAAGTTATAATGCAAGAGTAAGAACATGAACATGGAATAGATCCACTGATCTGAGAAACCAGGATGCCTTCAGAGCTTTGCTAGATTTGAAAGGTATGACCCCAAATCTAGTCCAGCATGCTGTGGCACTGAAAGAAGGTCAGGTAAAATAAGATCCTGACTACTTGTGTGGATGAGCATCAATCGGAGCCAGTGCCTCTGCCCTGTACTTCCCTAAGAAAGACAGGATTTCTGCAGAAAGCACAAACACATCCCCCAATTTCTCTGCACAGAGAAACCCCTCAGGACCTGCTGACAGAAATCCAGCCAAAGAGAGAGCTGTAGATAAAGTAGTGCAGTGAGTGCTAGTGTTTGCCATTGCACTCTCTGTAACTGTCTGGGGAGCAGGAGGTGGCCCTTTGGTTGACCAGTACCATCACAGGTAATTTTATACTGCACCTGTGTTGACATTCTAACATTTGCCATGGAGACAACAATACCAGCAGCTCTTAGCCCAGTGTCTTCCACTCGAGATAGAGGCTCTGAAAAACGAGGCTGTATAAACATATATAAAAAACACTGGAAACAGTTGCTATGTCAATGTGGCAGAAATTGCCTCATGTTAGCGTTTTAATGAAATGATTAATGGCAACAGTGGAAAATCCCTGTGCAGAATTTCTTTTACCTGAGGGAAAGCATAAACATGTAAATAAGAAATGTTGGTCACAGGATTAGAATTGGCTCAGCAGCTCTGAACTGTGTTTATTGTCTTGTTCACCAGTACCTTTGACCTTCCGTATGTGAGTTTATGTTCAAAGATGTGTGGATATTGATGACTGGAGAGCAATTAAAATAATGTACATCCCCTCTCAAATTAGCATTTGCTTTCTGGACGCTGTTCAGCACCAAAGGACGAAATGACATGCAACCTGTAAAATCAAATCTTTCCCAGCAGCTGTCCAAAGATGATATTAATCAAATCATGCTAGATAGTGAAGCACTTACTCACCTGAGTGAGCACAGCCTTCAATAATTTGCATTCACTGCTGCTTGCCAGTGAACGTAAGGGCTTAACTATCTGGCTATCACTTATGATATATAATATTTGTGCAGCTCAAGTTATATTCTTGTAGGAACGCAAACATTTTGCAAAAGAGAAAGAATGAGCTCACAAGGTTGATTCACGTAGAGCAATTTGTTAAATAGTCTAAACCCAGTCTCTCTGCGCAAAATAGCAGCAAGCTGGCTGACAAATTATTCTCTCTGGGCACTGAATATACTAGATGAAAAATACGTTAGTGCCTATAGGGAAATAACAAGGCTAAACACTATTTTGTGCGTGCATGTGTGCCTCTGCTCTTTAAAGAGAAAATTAGCCACTAGTTGTGTGAATTAGTGTTTAGCTCTGAAAATATGCCTCAAAAAGCTGCTTTTGACTACTTTCATCCACAATTTATCTCAGCCAAGAAAAAGGATTATGCTGTGAAGAAAACAGGGGTCCTGCTCCTTTCAGCTCCCACTCGCTAGAGAATAGGCAGACCCAGCCTGCTTTTGTCCTGCTGCAGCCTTGCAGTCAGTACAGACAGCACGGAGCCTTAAAACAGAATGATGCGGTAGGAGTGTGACTGGGAAAAATATACTCACACATACTTTTCTGGGGAGTAATCTGCAGCTCCTCCCAGCCATTCCCATACCCAAAGTTGAGGAATATGAGGAAAGAAATAGTGCCTTCCATGTGTAGGTCTTTGGAATTCTACCTGCACCTTAAGGTTTAAGGATCCGCTTCAGATCCCCCTGCCCCCAGCCACAACACCAAACCTCAATACCATCACTGTAAGCCAGCCTAACCTCAGCCAGTGTTGAATGCCTGGGAAAATATGCCTTCAAAGCCAAACAACAACAACAAAACAAACAAACAAAACTTGACGAAGTACCTGAATTCTTGGAACAAGACAGTAAGAGCTTTTGGCAGAAGGCTTTGTTTGTTATCAACCATCTGCTACCGTGGTTTGTTTCCATAGATATGGCAGAATTAAGGAAATTCTACGCAAAGCATCTGTGTGTGCAGAGCAGTGGGTGTGCTACAGTGAACAGTCCATTGCTGGAGGAAGATTGGGTTGTGATTGCAAGTTCCTTCTATTGTTTTCTCTGTAAGCAGTTACTTGCCTGGTGATTTTTCACAAGTCTTTCTAATAAACAGCATTTTTATGGACTTAAATGATTTTCAATAGCATACTGCTAACATAATTCTGTGCCGTAGGGATGTTAGTCTTGTAACCAGTGTCTGCAGATAGGACACCATGAAACTTGAATCTCAAGCTGAGACTGCCATTGCTGGCTTCAACTAGTGCTTGTTTATGAGTGTTAAGCACACTGAAGGAGGTTTCCTCCTTTTACACCTGCTGCTCATACATGTTTAGTAAGCTCTCTTAGCCTCATGGTCTTCCTTTCTTCATTCCTTTATATACCAGTGCAGAACTGAGCTCGTTTTTGTATGTTGAATTGTATTGTGTGAATCTGCTCTGCAGATGGGCCCACTGATTTAAAAGTGGCAATTTGTGCCCTTTATTAGACACCATTTGTCATGGGAAAAAGTGGCAGAACTGGACTGATGATGTTTAAAGGTGCGGAAACAGTAGGATTTCTTCAGTTATTGAAATCAAGTACATAAGTGCTGTGGTGAAACAGAGCACAGACAAACAGATCACAGCAGCAAAGCTACTCTTTTTTTATTAGCACTCAGTTATAGGTCAATTTAATATTTTAAAATTGAATTTATTCATTATTTTAAAATTAGATTTCCTCTCAGTTAACCAACAGAAAAACACGAAATGATTTTTAGAACAATGGGACAGACTGTAAGAAATTAAAACTGAAAGTTATGTACAAGAAATCTAAAACAACTTGAAGTAGTCTCTATGGCCTGTATTTGGTCTGGGACATCGGACCAGCATTGGCAGGTGAGATATGAGGCTTTCCAAAATCATTCCCCCAGTTTTGAACATCTCTGTGCATGGAAATGCATCACACTCCCTGATTTCTGATGTGACCTGGCAACGGGCTGCAATCCCAACAGCTTGCAGTGCTACTAATGATGCCATGGCAGAGATTAGAGTAACTTGTGCTGTCAGAGAATATGTTAAATCTCAGACCTGAAGAAACAATTATAGTTCCCTGTACCACTGTCCAAAACTGAAGTGGAGCTTAAAATAGTTTATGGTTTCAGAGGAAAGCTGGTCAATAGATTTAATTAAGGCAATATGCTTAATCCATTTTTAAAAAATTTATTTCCTCTGTGCTGCCAAGCCTTTTCTTGGCCAGGATGTAACACAGCACATCAGAAGGTTTTACTCACGGGATTTCTGCACTGCAGTAAAGAAACAACAAAAATCTCATGAGACCTGGAAGGAGTCTGAGTGAAAGCCCTGAAAAGAAAGTGAGAAGAAGTACTGAAGTACATTTCATCACTTCTGTCATCTCACCGCATTGTTTGCTGCATTCGTGCTGCTCTTCCAGTGAGAAGCTCAAGAAATCCCACTGGGACAGCTGAGAAAAGGCATCAGGTGTTAGAACTGCTGATAGTTTGGCTCATGCACTTCGTGTTTTTCCGTGTCCAAAAATCTGACCCAAAGACATGTTGGCAAGAAATATTCACACTGAAAGAGTTCTTTTTACTCATTTAACTCTCTGCTGATCTGACAATGTTCAGTCAGGTGAGGTTAGCCAGGTTGTCACCAGAGTGAGCCACAGCTCCCTGATGCCCCTGGGATCTTTCCATGGGCTCTGGTGGGTTCTGGATGGAGCCTGCCACAATGGGAAGTGGCAGCTCCTGCTGATTTCACAGAGTTGTGAGTTCCTGAGGTCAGACCAGCTGCCTTGAAAGGAGTCCTGTGAGTTAGGAAACGTGCTGTTGTTATGAGCTGTGCTTGAAAAGTAGAATGTAGTCAGTTCCATGTTCCTGTGTTCTTTTAAGGCAAAATAACTGCAACTGACAGGAAGTCTGGCCTTTCAGGAAAGTAAGAAAGAGGAGCTTAAATACAGTTTTCTTATCTAAATGTTTGTTCTCCCACTTTGAACATTCTGATATATGCTAAAACATAAGGAGTGCTTCCTCGACTAATCATTCCGCTATTAAAGTTGTTAAGCATTTATTTCAAATGCCAAAAAAATCCCTGGGAGGAACAATTCAGTGGCTGTATTTTGATTTTGGTTTCTCATTTAAAGACAGTGGAAATACCTCCATGCTTTGCTTACCGAAACATTAACAAAAGAAGACATTCATAGTTAGCCTGTTTATTTAGACTGAGTGAGATTAATTTCTCAAAATATCTAAACAGAAATTTTCAAGTGGTTTAGGAAATTTAAACATAGAACTTTGGGACTTGAGTATAAGGGTTGGTTGTTAATTTCACAAGTACCTTATTTTTATCAGCAGCCAGATCACAGGGCTTCCTTCACATCTTGTAAATAATTAACGAAAGCACCCTGGCAGAGATATGATTACACTGACTGCACAAGAGGAGGAGCTCAAGATCTTAAATTTCAACTTTATATAAGCCAAAATGTAAAGGAAATTCATTTCCATTTTCATTTATTTTTACATAAGAAATTAAAAGTAATCTGGAAATGCTAAGCTGTTTGTGCTGTAGCAAACCATCTAGTTTCTGTCCCCACGGAGACCATCTTGCTTGTGGTGTTTTGCTAACCACTTCTTGAGGTTCCTGTGCAGTTTGAGTGAAAGTCTGCAAGAATCTGAGTATCCCTTCGTTGCTGCTTGTAGCTCTTGTTGACTTTGGTAAGATGTAGGAAATTCAGAATTTAAGGAATGAAGTTTCATCCTTTCATCTTGGCTTCACTGGAATTTATTTTTTCAGTTTTTTTAAATACTTATGCACAACCTGCATATTTTAAAAACTGCTGTGCAGAAGGTCAAATCGAGTACAATTTGTCCAACAAGAATTAGGAATGGAAGTAAGGGCGGGGGTTAAGTGTGAGTGAGCTTGGCAGGAGCGCTGTTTGCAGTCACGGGAAAAAGGGTTCACACAGCAGTTGAACTTGAGCTGTCAATGAGAAATCTGCAAGGAAGTGTCAGATGAGGAGACTGATACTTGGGATAAAAGACCAAACAGGGCTGGTGAAAGATAATTTGCCTGGGAAGAAGTAAAGGATACAGAATTCCTGTGAAATTGCCATGAAGAGCCGCAGAGCATTGCTTGGTGGACATGAAGCAGAAAACTGGAGAGTTTGGAAGAGGAGAGAAAGAAGAGAAAGTGCAACTTGTTCATATTCATCATTTGCTGCTTCAGTCAACATGCATATTTAGCATATAAATGGGTTTCTCAGAAATGCTTGTTACTGCCTCAAAGTGATGCTAAAAATATTTTCAATATATGATTTGGTGGAAATAGGGAAAATGATCACAAGAGCATTCAATTTCACTTCTTATTAATCTCTGTAAAACCGATTGAACAACGAATATACTTGTAATTGAAAAGCAGTTTTGTTCTACAGGGAATTCCATGGATGGGCTAAAAAGCCATGGCAGAAACGAACTACCACATCCATCCTTACACTTTACAGTAGGTGGTAATCTGCCCTTAGAAACATACAAGAAGTGGTCATGAAATTTGAAAAATGACACAAAAACAATTATCACCAAACTTCATCATTTTTAACTCACCCCCTTGCTACCCAAATTAGAAAATTTATTTTAAAATGTATTATGATGGTTTAGTTTTAGCTGAGCAGTAGTACTATAATGAATTCTTTTTATATGTTAGTTTAAGAGAGCTTTGTTCTTTCCTTTTTCTCGATGCTAAATATCAGCTTTGTAGCTGATGTCTAACTTTGGACAGAAAGAGGGGACGTGTCTTTCACTTTCACAGTCTCTCTCTCCTTTTCTTTTTTCTTTAGACCTGAGGTCTCTGCAAAACAAGGCAGTCTTTGCCACATCTCCTTAAAATGATGAAGATTTCTTTCTTTCTTCACCTGTGACTCCAGAGCAAACTTCCCTTTGTTGCACCTTTTCAGTGTTAGGCGTTTCAAGAATTCCTAGGTTTCTGGTGGGAATTCTTTTCATCCCTGACATCAAAACATGCAGGGTTTTTGAAGAGCAGAGTTCAGGCTTAACATATTTTTCTCATTTCTCGTTTAAAATAATCTCATGCTTAAGCTGCAAGCAGACTTTGGTAAGAAACAAGAATTATACATTGTGAAGTCTAGTGAGAAAGGCATTTTCTGAAGCCTGTGCATATGAAAGGACAAAACTGAAGAGCACACAGACACAGACAGGCTCCTGTTCACTGAAGTTCTTGTCTAATTTGTCACCTGGCAGTACGTTATCAGAGTATTTAATTGTAGAGTAAGGATCCTGTATAACCAAGATGTTATAATTGCAATATAATCAAAAGAGTAAGGCAAAGCAAACAGGGATCACAAAAGAGAATAAGTAGAAGAGCTTACCCTTGGGTTGAGCTCACTAGAAGATATCAAAGAGGAGGATCTCCAGAAGAGATCCTTCCCCTCTGGTAGCCAGCTCTTCAATAGGTCCAGGAGGGGTGCAGCCTGGCTCCACCCCTTCCGGCAGCACAGGTGAATTGCCTTCACCTGTGCTCCTCTGGCTGACTCATGGCTCACCTCAGGTGATCAATCAGAGGTTCAGGCCGTGACTCAGCAGTTCCCATACAGATCCTGAACACTTTAGTTGTGAATCAGTGTGTCAGTCTGGCCTCATCTGAAACAAGAAAGCTGTTTCTGAAGAAAGAAAAAAACCACAAGCTGCCACAGGTACCCACACTGGGGAGAGGGAAATCCATTGACAAACGTCAAACTATACCAGTCCAAAGCTGGAAACCTCTCTCTTTCACCAAATAAAAGCAGCAGGGATAGCTCCTATTTTCTGTTGCATTTGCAGGGTACATTCTTAGGGCACTCTGTACCTCTGACACAGTCAGTTCTGAATTTCCTGACCAAGTTTTGTTTCTTCTTCTTCAGGTCAATATTGGCATTCTCATTGCTGTTACAAGAGTTATCTCAAGAATCAGTGCAGATAACTATAAGGTCCACGGGGATGCCAATGCCTTCAAGTAAGTTTCTCATATTTGAATTCTGCTGTAACAAGTTAGTAATCTCCCATGTCACAGCCTAGGGACATGTATAATGGTCTTCTCCTAGGACACTGATACCATTCCTTTTTAATAAAAAGCAAATAATGATAATGGCAACATATTATTTGCTTGAATGCAGCCAATTAACCTATATTTTATGAAAGCCAAATACAGCATGGGATGAAGCCTTTAGTTTGGCATGAGCTAAGCTGTTTTTCTGCTTATTACAGTCTCCAGCATTTGCTGATTCATTATTTTCCTTTTTTGTTAATGGAGATTTTCCTCTTACAGCTATTTTTAAAGATAAATCTCGCAAAGTATGATTAATCTGTACTTGGGTATTGCAACCATTCCATTCTTTCAAAGGATAAACTTGTTTCTAGCCCCAGTTTAGCAAAATATTGAGGCATATGCTTATTTTTAATACTCTCTGGATACTGCAAAGCACAGAGACTTACACTGGATTTAAATGTGTTCTTAAACTCAACCATGTCTTATATCAAGGTGCTTTGAGCCCCCAGGGATTGTGACTTCTCTGAGTGTATCATCTTTTAAATACTGTGCTATTGAGGCTAGAGGGGAAATTCAAGGTAGATGCATTGCTGCATCTGAGTATGTAAGGATAAATTCTGATGTCTAAAGTCTGTGGGATTATACGTGGCTAAGTAAGAGGACAACGTAATATATTGAATTTAAAGTAAGATGCTGAATGTTACATTTTGTGTTTTACCTCCTAAAGACATTTTAGTCCAAATACAAAATACACCGTGTATATCTCAAGCAGTTTATAGCTTATAGGGTAGAGGAAGGATGTGTTATGGTTTGTGCTTAATGTTTCTGAGTCACAGGCTATTGTGTGATAAGGTGCGGCGCCACTGATCTGAATTGGTGTCATAAGGAATCATTTTTATGCTCTAGTTACTTATGTAGTTTTTAAAATGCCATTAAGTTTACGATATTGGTGACAGATACCTGATAGAAGTTAGTTTACTTATTGTACACTCACCCACAGGAGAAGAAAAACAGTAAATAAGTCTACACAAAAATCTATACAACAATTACATTGCAGTAAAATGAAAAGACTGGGAATTAAAATAACTTTCAGATTTGGATGAGTCTCTGTGACCTTCAGAAATACAAAGGAAATACAGAACTTTGGGAAGCAAATAACTGCATATTGTCAATGACAATTTGAATCCATTGTCAGAATTACGAAAACAAGAGAAGATCCACAAACAGGAGCTACACAGATGGCTCTGTGCACCTAGGTGTTTCCTTGCTTGTGTTATGAAGAGCCGATTCAATACACACTGTACCCTGTGCACCACTCTCTCTCTTTTTCTGTCCCTCCCTCTATATATATTTATATAAAGCTATGTATGGATAAATAAGAAAAATGTTTCAGGATAGTTGTTCGAGAAATAAGACGAAATGCATTTACAGATTGCTAGCTTAAATATTAACAGCTAGAGATCGTGAATGGTAGAGCTCTGCACTGAAAATGTGAAGTGTCTGTGCGCCTTAAGCTGATGCTCTTTGTGTCAAGTATTTTGAAAGTACAGTTCTAGGATTTGATCTAATAATTAACGAGGTGTATGTGACAACAATCATGAATAAGCTTTTCTTCATAAAAATAAATTGATTAAATAAGATATATTGAAAGGTAGACAGAACAGAATAGCTCTTATTCTGTAGATACCATTACAGAAATGGGTCCTCAGAAACTTGAAAGGAGAACAGCATAAATAGCTGTACAGATCAGATCTTAGAGATTGTTAACAACCTGATTCGTCATAGCAGTGAGGGAGCCCGAATTAGAATTTCTTGTACAGCTGATGCCATATCTGCTGGAAAAAAAAGAAAAGAAAAAGAAGGTCTTTGTAGCACTAGATTTATTTTCTTGTCATCAGTACTCCTTATACAGGTGAGAAGAGTTTGTGTCTGGTGTGAAATCATTCTGCCCACAGTACTGTCTTCCAAAAAGGAAGAGAACAAAACAAGAGTGGGCTCCGTTCTGACAGCTGGTTGGGAAATGTTTTTTGCAGTGAAATGAAAATGCCTGCAACCACTGAAGAATCATAGATGTTGATTAGAGACTGTTAACAAATGAGAGTGGATAAGCACAGCAAAATGAATCAGTGACAGAGAGCACAGAGATAACAGAAAAACGCAATAACCCTGCAGTTCCTGTCAAGTTGCTGTCAGCAAGAACCACAAGGTGGTTTTTGAATCAACAAGTGCAATTGGCTTAGGGAGAAATCCATGAAGATCACAAACTGCATTGAGCATCACAAGCCTTAAACAAAGGGCCTGTCAGGCTCCCATCTGGGTAGGACCATTCATTTGACATTAGCTATGGGGGAAAATGGAATATGTTAGAATGAATTTATCAAGCTTTTCTTGGAAACATCTAAATTAATATGGCATAACATGATTTTGGTGAGACAGGAATGTACTTTGTCACGGTGTCTGAGTTCTTTGCTGTAGCAAAGTGTTTCATAGGAAGGAAGGGGGTTTTTGGGGCTGCATTCACTGTTTTGTAAAGCAAAAGACAAAATAAAGAAAATGAGAACTGCTCAATCCAATAAACTTGAAAGGGAAAGAGAGATTTCAATGCATTTTTTTCAAGCTAGAATGAAATTTATATGGAAAGCGCAACAAGAAACATTAAGTTTCTGTCTGCAACAATTTAGATGATGCAGTGGGGGCTTTAAGGTTACAAGTGGTAATGAACCAAAAGGCGTTGCAAAACTGCCTAAGGAGCATCTGAAGTGCTGTGATAGGAGTGTTAAGAGAGGTGCTGGCTGTCTCTCCTTGGTAACTCAGGCCAATATTTACATCTGCTGTAAGCACCTAACAGACCTCACCCTTACAGCTCCTGCTGAGTTCAAGCAAACAGCAGTTGCAGGCATTCAGGTTTGGAAACCTCAGCCTGCATGTTTACAGAGCTGGTCCATCATCAGGCTTGTCTCTCGCCAGGCTTTCTGGCTGAAGGAAGAGTTCTATCACATTGAAGAGCTCTGGCTTCCACTTTAGCTGGCAGCCCAGGTGGGAGAGCACCTCAAAGCAGAAACCTCTGCTCACCTGCACTCCCTGATCACTGGACAAATGTGTGTTTCTGCCCTGCAGTCCTCGTCTGCTTGACATGCGTGCCTTAAAGGTTCTGCTTTCTCCTCAGTGAATCTGAAGGAAGCCCAGGTTGCCTGGCTCCAACACAGATACTCCCTGAGCACCAACAAGCCCAGTGTCATAACTCACACCTCGAGGTCGTCAGGCCGCGACTGAGCAGAGGTTACTTTAGGAAACTGTCACAACAAAGATGGAGTTATGAGCCACGATGATATCAAATAGAGAAGACATTTATTGTAAGAGAAGTGTTAGTGCTGCAGTGTATTTAGTTTCCCTGAAGATTAAGTTACTTGGCAACGCGATTGGATATTATGAACAAGGACTTGTTTCTCTTGGCAACAGACATCAATAAGCTGATGTAATTATTTAGAGTAATTGTTCCTGATTTTCTGTGTGGCAACAGGTCCTCTTAAATGCTGACTCAAATATGACCACAGAATTTGCATCAGGATGAGCCACTGCTCAGCTCTGAAGGCAGCTTCCATCAAACTTCATGCTTAAAAGCCAAAGCAGACAAGGAAAGCGTTAACAACATTTCTTCATTTCTACATAAAATTAATTAATTCATAATCCTCCTAATTCACATTCCACCCAGAATAAAGTGCTGTACATTATGGGCTGATTGACCTTTTCAGGTTCTGATGTTGCTTGTCATAATGAAGATGTCAGACAGAATTTTGCTGACCATTTTCCCAGTTTTGGAGATACAGGCAGATGTGGACATGTTTCTATTTGTTGTTTTTTAAAAGAAAATAATAATACCTCCAACATCAGATATAAATTGAAAAAGCATTCAGGAGTGAAGTCCGTGACACATAATTAAAAAAAAAAAACACACAATAATCTAAGGAAAAATTAATTCAATTAATTAAACAGTGTATGATCAGAGATGCTAGTTCATGCATACAGACTCCTGTGACAGTCTGGCAGGAGATATTTGCTCACTGTATAATTAGTGTATGTATGTGTGAGTGGTCCCTTATTTATCACCTGAAACTAATACTGCAAAAGCAGTTTGGTGGTGAAAGGTGAGCAAGGAATTGTTACAAGTTCCTATTTCTTCCTTGAACTCAGTGAGGATTATGCTTTTTGTATTCTTTCTGAAACATGCTGAACACAAACTTGTCTGAGCTTTTTCACTTAGATGCGAAGGCTTGTTTCTGAGCTTTTTGCCAGATGATGGGCTATTGACTCTCAGTAAAATAATGCTGTGCAGTCACTAACTTGGATGTTGCATTATGAGAATGTTTTGCAGCCAGGGAAAAGATTTCCCACCACAAGGTCGATTTGAATGTTTTGCTATATAGAATACTGAATCAAATACTTTGAAAAATTGAAATGCACGTGCACATTTGTTTGCATTATCCATTTTCTTGACTGGTCTTTCATTTCGGGAAACAATTAATTATATGTTTGTGTTTAAGCATATAAGTAGTCTCTCTCTGAACTAAATGCAATTAAATCAGATTAGTTTAATGCAATTGCTCACGTGCTTGAAGAAGCAAATGATTACTTTCTTCAGTTATGGACCATTTGAACACTTAGACTTTTTAACTTACTCCTGCTGCATATAAAATCTTGATTCCTCTCTGAGTGCATACATTTACTCTGGCTAAGAATAGAACAGTTTTGTTTTCTTTCAATTCCTGCTCTACCCCTTTGAAGCCTCGGTTGGTGCTGTGTTTACTTGGGAATTTACTTCTCTGTTACAGTGAGAAAAGTTGTCTAACGTGACAGTGCTTCAGAAATGTGTCCGTTTGTAATAAAATGTAATATACTCCAAGAGAACTCTTCCCTGATTAAGTCTGTCACAGGTAGGATGTTTGATTATTGGAGGTACCTGTCTCCTG